CCAATATAGGGTAGGGGTATAGGCCACTACGAGAAAGGAGCAAAGGTGGTTAATTGGAATGATTACTAAACTCAAAGTAAAACAGGTTTAACCACCACCTATTTCATTAACCTATGAAGATGATAAACTTACTAAATTTTCTGAGTTTGGTGCCTGGCACTTAAGTGCTCAACAATGGTAACATAAATTGTGGCTAGTGAGTCATATTATTGTTGCTGTAAAAAAAAAAATACCAGGTAGCAACTGTAACAATCACTGTTACAGTTAATTAGGTGGCTAGATCACCAGGAATTATACTGAGGAAAAAACCCCAATCTCAGAAGATTACATACTGCAAGACTCCATACAAGTAACAATACTGTGGAGTTGAAGACTAGATTTGTGGTTGTCAGAAGTGAGGGCTGAGCGTGATTATGAAGGGGCAGCAGCAGGACGGAGGTTGTGCAGGCATGGACAGCTCTGCAGCTCAAGGTGGTGGCGGGGGGCCTCCCCTGGTGGCGCAGCGGTTGAGCGCTGGGCTGCGAAGCTTCCTGCGGCCTCTGCAGCGCCTGTTCGATCCCCGGCTGCTCCCCGGCCACCGGAGGAGGGTCCCACATGGCGCGCAGACCTCTCCTGCCGCCCGCTGCTTCCCTCAGCAGTGTACTTCGGTCCTTCTGCCTGTTCTGTTCCCTGCTCTGGCTCTGGTGAATTCTCTCACCCTCCCGCGCTTCTGACTGTACCCAGTGCTTGTATAAATAAATAAATAAATAAATAAATCTTTAAAAAAAAAAAAAAAAAGGTGGTGGCGGGGGCTTCAGGATGCCACGCATGGACGACACGGTGTAGAAACCTGGGACACTGGGGACTTCACGGTAAACTGCACCAGAGTCAACACCAATGTGCTGTTCTGCTACAGTCACAGAGGATGTCACACAAGGGGAGGGGTGCATAGAGGGGCTCCCTCCACATTCCTTTGTAACTTTCTATGAATCTACAATGCTTTCAACCTAAAGTTGGCCAAAATTAAAAGATGATCCAACTCCAGGAAAACAGGGCAGGGAGCTCAAGATAGTAATAGGAATTCATCAACAAGAACTTCATGACCCATCAACTGTTATTAATCAAATCAGTGCCCACTGAAATGGCAAAGTCCTTTCCACCTAATCTGGTAGGGAAGAGATTTAGATGCAACGGGTGCTGGCTAAGGGCAGGGACATGGAGAGGCATTTCCCATGAATGCCGCCCACAACAGGCAGCAGGTCGCCTTCCAGAAACCTACCTGAGGAAACAGATGTCCACGCTAACCCTGAGTCCCACGCAAGACGGGAAGTGGACCCTGTCCTGCCCAGGGGTTAGGATTTCACTCCAGGCCTGCACTTCACAATTACTCAACCAATAGCTGTGGGGAAATTAAAAATAGGAGCGCTGTTTCTCTCAGTCCATCAGTGTATCCTGATGCTTTCTGACCTCAGACCCTGTGTTTCTGGCAGAGGCTACACTGTCACTTAGAGATGTGTGCCTGAGGCATTCCCAGCAGGGAGGGCGGGAGAGAATGGCAAAGCAATCTTTTAAACATCTTCCAACTGGGCCTCCCTGGTGGCGCAAGGGGTTAAGCATAGCACTGTGAAACTATCCACAGCAGCATAGCACTGTGAAGCTATCTGCAGCTGCAGCATGAGTTTGATCCCCAACAGGCCAGGGAGCCGAACCACATGGCCAGCAAACCTCTCCTTTCTCTCACGCGATGCTCCTCTCAACAGTGTATTTCAGTAGATCCACCTGTTCTGTTCCCCACTGTATCTCTGGTGAATCCTCTCACCTCCCCATAACCTCTGGCCTGCACCCCAGCTCTTGTATGCATAAATAAATAAATCTTTAAAAATAAAAAAATCTTCCAATTTAGATAACCCCAGGAAACCTCTCTGACACTTTTACAAAAAACACAGATGGCCCAGGTAAATCACAGACCAGGTAAACGGACCTGTCTCTCAGCTTCTATTTCATTTACCCTCAGAAACACCTTTCTCTCTGGCCCTGGATGATTTTATGGTAGAAACTGAATTTAAGATAGCACATCGACTTCAAAATACAGACATACCTCATTTTACTATACCTTGCAAACACCATGCCCACTCCCCACCCCCCATTTGCATGTTTGTGGCTGTCCTGGGCCCAGCAAGCCTACTGTTGCCATTTTCCCACAGACTGGATGATGGCTAGCATTTGATGGCAATAATGTATTTAAAAACTAAGGCAGGGTCTCCCTGGTGGCACAAGGGGTTATAACGCACCACACTATGAAGCAATCCACAGCCTCTGCAGCACAAGTTCGACCCTGGCCAGGGAGCACCCCACATGGTGCAGCAGACCTCTCCTGGCTCTCCCGCAGCTCCCCTCAGCAGTGTATTTCAGTCAATCTCCCTGTTCTTTTCCCCACTCTGTCTCTGGTGGGGACACACGCACGCACACGCGCGCGGCATCTCTGGCCTGTGCCCCAGCTCTTGTATGCATAAATAAATCAATCTTTAAAAAAATAAAAATAAAAATAAAAATTAAGGCGTAGGCGCAGCAGGTTGAGTGCGGCGCTGTGAAGCTGTCCGCAGCCTCTGCAGCACCGGTTCGTTCCCAGCAGGCTGGCGAGAATTCCACATGGTGCCGTGGACCTGTCCTGTTGTACCAGCTGCTCCCCTCAGCAAAGTACTGCAGTCGTCTGTCTGCCTGTTCTGCTCCCTGCTGTGTCTCTGGTGAATCCTTTCACCCTCCCGGGCCTCTGACCTGTACCCCAGTTCTTGTATAAAAATAAATAAATCTTTAAAAAAAAAAAAAAGAAGGCACAACGCTACACTGCACACTTAAAAGACTACAGTGTCGTGTACACATAACTTGCAGATGCACTGGGGAACCAAACAAATCCTTGCTACTTGCTTTACTGTGGTATTTCCTTATGTGGTATTCTGGAATCAAAACCCTCAGTATCTCAGAGATGGGCCTGGAACACTAAGTGCTGGATCAGGAACACGAGGAGACACGGGGAGCGTGTAGCTGGTGGTACCTCTAGCATTTGGAAACTTCGCCAGTGGTGGTATCCCCCAAGACTGAGCTCTGGGAGTGGGTAGCAGCCACCACACTGATGAAAGCATCAAGGCTCTAGGAGAGAATGATGTTCCCGGGGTCACCTCCTTGACGGACCACCGAACTCCCCTCAGAGCCGGTGTCTCCAGCTCCACTGGGGAAGAGGTGTGGAGGGAAGCTCAGAGCTGGGAGACTGCCCCCTTCTTGAGTCTGGGCCAGGACCCTCCTTCCCCATGAACCCCACATCTCAGTTTACCAAGCACCCTCATTCCCGTGGCCCTGCCTGTTCCTCTGCCCATGGGCAGACAAGTCATACAGACAAGAACACTGAGGCTCAGCCTGCCTGGTGCCTGGAGGGAGTGAGTGGCAGCAATGAGAGTCCTTCAGTTCAGGTCTTAGGGCTACCGGACTTGTCCCCCACCCCATGCCCAGGGCTCAGGCTGGCAAAAACTGCTTGAACTCAAATGGGAGGGGTCTCCAGCTGTGACTCCAGAATAGGGGGTTCCCACCACACCAATCACATCATGTCGCTCATGAGCAAGAACACTCAGTCCTGATGTGAGGGTGGGGGGAGTAGGCTCAAGGCAAGACCCTCTCCCCTATTCAAAGTGCTTAAAGGGGCCAGAAGGGACTGCAGAAACCACAAAACAAAACCAGTCTGAGAACATTTACAGGGGTCCTGCTCCGGCTCAGTGTCCCAAGTCGTACATCCCTGCGGGGTCAAGTGGTGCACAGGTTCGTGGCTTTGGCTACTGGAATTGCCGGTCTTTTAAGTGGATACTGTATAAAGGGAAGACTGAAAAGAGAGGTCCACATGTAGATGAGAACATGTCTATGCCACCTCCTCCAGGAAGTCCCTGGGCACTGACCCCCAGCCAGGGCAGGGAAGTGGCAGCAGTCCAGGCTTTAGGGGGCTGTTTTCAGTGGGTGGGGGGTAGCCCACGGGGATTTCCTCACTCCTGGGAGGACTCTGGCCAGCCCTGCAGCCACTTCCTCAGGCCAAGGGGAAGACAGCGCAGGGTAGTGGAGGCAGCAATATGGTGCCCCTCTCTGTGGGGGCGGGTTATGAACACTAATCACCCCTCAAAATCCACTCCTACTCCAGCCAGAGCCCCTGAATCCCTTAAAGGAATCTGGAGACCACTCCAGGACAAAACCTTCTATCCAGAATCCCAGCAATATTGAAGGACTAGGCTCTGACCTGAGACCCCAGGAAAAGAAAAGACTAAAGCCCAGAGGGTGAGGGGCTCTTTTGCTCCAGTTTCCCTGAGGGGAGCCCTCCAAATCTCCTGGACAGAACAGACTCCACAAATAGCACCTTTCTCTGTCCACACAGTCTGCCTGTGAAACAAAGATTGCCCATGGCAGTCAACAAGGTCCAGCAGGACCTGCCCTATTCCCTTCCTGCCTGTGCCTCCTCCCCACTCACCCTTCCTTGCTCTCCTCCAGCCACACAGGCCTCCTCACTGTTCCGCCAAAACGCCAGGCTGGTCCTGCCCAGAGCCTCTATGCAAGCTATGACCCTGCTGGAAATGCTCTCTCCACCTCCCTCACATGTCTGCTCAAACACAACCTCCTCAGAGACCCACTGCCCTGGCCTCACGGTAGCTCCCTCCTGAGCTCTGCTGCCTGGCCACACCAAATGTCCCTTCAGGCCCCTGTCTGCTGTCCCTTGCCTTGTCACTGGTACCCATGACTGGACAGCTTCCTCAACCCATCTGTTTTGCTCAAGATGTCCAGGCTTGAACTCGAAGACCCAGACCCCAGGAACATCCCATTGTTTCCAGCACACCTGGGCACCACCCTCAACATACCTCCCTCTCCTCTGGGACCCTGTATCCAGACACCATCACCCCCGCCCCCCGCTTTAGGTTCTGGCGCTGCCCCAATCCTGGATGGTCCCAGGTCACTGGATACCACCGATGCACAGCCCAACAGCTGGATCCTACCTGAGCTTCCAAACTGGGCACTGGCCAAGGAGGCGGGTCGGCCCTTCCCATTGGCCACCGGCAGCGGGAACATCTGCAGGAAAGGGAAACAGGTGAGGGGTACAGTCTGGGGCGCGGCTATGCCCGTGGGCCCTCTCCCAGGGAGGACTCCAGACAACCACGGAGTCCCCATGGTCCAGTGGAAAAAAGCAGACAAGGGGCCCGGTGCCCCAGATAGGCACTCCTGGGGGCAACCTGCCCAGAAGACTTCCAGGCCCTGGTGTGCAGTGTGGGATTGACAACTGCCAGGATTGACAACAGCCAGGATTGACAACAGAACCTGGTTGTTTGTTGGGGGGGTAGGATGGATAATCCAATGTAAGCACCTGATACAATTTATCTGTCCTTAAAAGTGATACGAAATTTCCTTTAAATTGCAACTTCAAGAATCTAACCCCATTCACATTCAAGGGGGCACACCAAGTGGGGCGGAAGTTCAAGCTCTGCCGGCCACTGCTGGCCCAGCGTAATGACCCTTCCTGGGAAGTGCACCCACTTCCTGCGAGTGCCCAGCCCCGTGGGGCGGGAACATGGGGAGGACCGGAGGGTCAGGGGACAGGAGACCCAGGTCAGTGTCCCACGCGCTAGCCTCTGTGCTCAGCAGCCGCCCAGCACCCGATGAAGGTGAGGTGCCCATTCAAAGGGGACACTGGGACTGACAGAGGCAGGAAGCTGGGGGGACCAGAGAAAGGCCGAGCTTCGCACCGAACACAATTTAGCGGTTCTTCCGGCTCAGGGGTGCGCGACCGGCACTCTGTCCCTCCCTCCCGGCTCACCCATACCCAGGGTGTTAAATCCCTGAAGATTAACAGCTTAGCAGCATTAACCGGAAAACCCAACATCAACAAACCCTTTTGCCAGGGAAAAGACAAAACACGTCCCTGCCCTGCCCCAAGGGTTGGGTTTTACCGACCCTGTTTGCGGCCTGAGTGACTAAATGCAGCTGGTCGCAGCGAGGCGGACAGACGCCCAAGCCTTCCAGCATATTTATGGGAGTGATTCCTGGGGTGCCACCATGAGCCCCAACAGGGACCAGGGAAGTGGGTCCTGCCCCCCTGCCTTCTACATGAGGGAAACTGAGGTCACCGCACATCTGGTCCTGCCAGGAGTGACAAGCAGAGGTGCTCCTGCAGGGCTCAGGGTGGTGGTGGCGGGTTTTCAGGGACTACCCCCCACCGCACTGAGATGTGACTCTCACTCAGCTGGCCCAGCTCCTGGAGCGCTGTGGCCACAATGGACAGCTGTCCCGCTGGGGAAACCGAGGCCTGCGTGGTGGAGGGGCCAGCCTGAGCCAGGACTGGAACCAACCTGACCCCAGGTCTGAGGGCCAACATCCCAATTCACAGGAGATAGGGGCTCCATTCCCTTTGTTTTGCTCCCCAGGGGTCACTTACCACAGGGGACACTGAGCTATGTCCTCCAGAGGCCCCAGAATCAGCCCAGAATCCCTGCGCCCCTCGGAGGCTCAGCTTTCTGGCATACGAAATGGACCCTGGCTCTACCACACCGGACACTGTGAACCCCAAGGTGCGCGGGCATCCTGGGCACAGCGAGTGGCTGGGAGGGGTGTGACATCATCACTACTGGTTGTCTGGCTGGGCCGCAGGTCACACTCCTCCTGCCCCTGGCCTCTAAGCCGGGTGCGCAGGCCCAGGACCGCCTCAGGCCCATGGGAGGACCCCAGCTCGGAGCCTACATGGCCGCAGGGCACCTCTGGGCCCGGGCTCCGGGGGACAGGAGGACCAGCAGGCTGAGCCTTCTGCGGGCTGCCCAGCAGTGGTCTCCACTCACACTTCACTTAAACCCTAAATTACTTCCCTTTAAAAATCTTTTGTCTCTGTTTAAAAACAAACTGTTTTAAAAGAAACAAATGAACTCAATTTCTCTGGGGGCGAGTGGGAGGGCCGGAAGGAGGGGTGTGACCTGTAATGGAGAGGGGGCCCTCTGTGCCCCTTGACTGGCTCCAGCGCTCTCCTTGTTCTAATGAGGTAGGTGAAAATGCAGCTCTGGGTCTCTCTGAGGGAAGAACCCAGGTATCTCACCCCTTTCAGTCTCGAGTTTCCCCGTCTGCGAAATGGGTCACTCGTTCTGAGCTACGGTAGGAAAGGTCCGTGGACAAAAAAGGTGGCAAGTGGCTCAGGGCCCTCTGGATGGCTGAGGTGGGGGTAGCAGGCGAGAGCCTATGTCCACGCGCCCTCCCCAGCTCCAAGCTGGTCGGTTCCAGTCTAATGGTCTGTGACTTGTCAGTTTAACAAAAAAACAAGCTTGGGCTACGGCCCTGGTTACTCATCCGGGGAGGCAAAAATAAAATGGGGCTTAAAAATACCAGCATGGCCCTTCCGGAACCGAGGCCCTCTGTCCCGTGGGCTGTTTTTCCGCACAGTAGCTGAGACCATCTTGGTTTGGGGACTGTTACTTAACAGAACTCAGTCGCGAGGCCCCGGTATGAGCTGCCCTAACCTGTTTGAAATCAAATGGTGCATCCTGGGGGAGGGCAGGGCAGGGCAGGATTCACAGAACCATCATCCACTTACGTCCCTGGGTTTGCCGGAAACACCGACAGCCCGTGACACTCTGACAGGCGGCCCACTGCAGATGGGGAATGGAGGCCCTGGTTTTTCTGTGTACCCTCCTATTCCAGGCATCCATGGGAGTCCAGATTGTTGGCCTCACTGGGCCTGTGTGAACTGGGTGACCTCTGGAGAAGCCAGCACCCTCCCTGAATCTCCATCTGCCATGAATTCAGGGAAGCACCCACTCTCACATGCCACCCTCCCCCCAACATTTGAGCGCTTCCTCCAAGCCAGCGCTACCCACAGGCTTCCCAAGACTCCTCCCAGTCTTCTCCCTAACACCCATGCACCGGTTCCTGGAGACCTACCCAGCAGCCTCTGTGGGACTGCACAGTTGAGCATTACTCCTACTTTCTATGCCCTCTGATCATTTAGTGAGGGTCCTCTTGGCACTCAGCACCCTCTCTTTAATGTGAATCTACATGGGAGTGAATAACCCCGATCGAGCCCACTTTACAGACAAGAAGGCTCTGGTCATAGTGTGCCCAGGGTCAAGCGGACCCATGAAGGGGCTGCAGGCTCTTGGCAGCCTCCTCCCCTGGGTCTCAGTTTCTCCAACTGTAAATCCGTGACTGAACCCATTCTCCGCCTGGGCAAACACCTGGGTGGCAGATGCTTTTGGAAGCTGATGTGAGTCCCAATGCTGCACACTGTCATGGGGATATCACCCTGCCCACTGAACAAGCTGGAGTCCAGGCCAGAGGAGGTGATAGCTGCATATGCTGCTTCCCCGGAGCCCTGGGCGTGGAGGTAACATGAAGAGGCAGTCCTGGCTTACCATACTGAAGTCCAGGAGGTCGCTGAGCTCCTTGTCTGTGCCCACGGGCGCCATCCTCTGTGGCTGGTTCATTCTCCCACAGCACCAGTGGGCACCAGAGTGAGCAGGGGGTACCTCAGGCTAGAGACAGACCTGTGGTGGCCCAGTGGAGGCAGGGAGAACAGAAACACACAGACAGGGAGAAAGAAAAGAGGTTTGAGTGACAGACAGGGAGAGGAGGAGCTGTTTAAAATGCCCCATCATCAGCCCTGAGTCCCCCCTCCAGCAGTTGTGGGTATGGGGGAGGGGCAGCCAGGATTCTGGGTTTTGAGGCTGGAGACCCCTCCCCAGAGTCCTTGGGGAGTTTGAACACTGGGGGTGGGGGTGGAGTTGAGCTGCACAAATACAGATGCCCTAAACATCCTCTGCGATGATCTAGGATTCAAGTTGCAAATTATAAACTGGATTAAGGGTGGGAACAGTCCCTCCACCTCGAGCCAGCAGCCCCCACTGTCTCCCAGTCAGACCTCCCATTTCTAACCACCCAGGTTTCCTCACTGCCCCCACCCACCCGCGGAGAGGGGGAGGGGCGACCCAGGCCCCACCCCTAGGAAAAACTGGTGAAGCCACCCCCCAACAGTTGTCACAGTCTGTTGAAGGCCTAGTTACCCCCAAATTAAAAACGAAGGAAATTCACAAGAGGGCGAAACCCCTCCCCCACTTCACGACTGACGGGGGTGGGGGGTGGGGGGGGCGGCACCTCGCCCAGGGATATACCCACAAAGCCTCCTCCACTTTTAACTTCTCCCCTCCCCCAATAAGCAACCCGAGGTTGTTCTACTCCCAAGTATCCGGCGATTATTTTAAAACAACTTTGAAAACACCCATTGTCTCCTACCCCTGGGGGGAAGGGTCCAAAGATCAGGGTTTCCCCTCCACGCACGCATCGTCCCAAGGGGCTTCATTCTGAAATGGGGGTGCGGGATCCACCTGCCGGGTCCCATCCCGCCCCAAGAAAAGGAAGCAGGAGAGGCAGGTCTCCGTCCCCCAGATGGACGGCGAAGCCCCTCCAGCTAGTCCCAGGGTTCCCCGGGTGGGGGCGGGGGCCACCAAGGAGAAACCGCAGCGGGGGGATTCCGAGGTCGAGGAAGACCCAACTTCAGAAGCGGAGAAACCCCCCTTTGTTTGCCAACCAGAGCCGAGGTGTGAAATGGATGCCCCGCGCGCTGCCACCCCACCCCCGCCAAGTTTTTCTTTTTTGAAGAGCGTGTGAAACTGACTTTTTTGAGGAGTACGAAACCGCTCCTTTTTTGTGGGTAGTTGAAACCGATTTTAAGACAGGCCGTGGGGGGGGGGGGTGGCTGAAACAGGTTTTTATAGGGGGTGGGGAGACTTCTGGGATGGCACCGGGACTTCTGGGGGACTCGAAACGGGCTCGCGCACGAAGCGTCCCTCTCGGGGGGAGGGGCGGGAGGCGGCCGGGAAACCTGCCCCCGGCCCCGGCCGGTGCAGGCGCGCGGCCCCGGGAGTCCTTTGAAGCCCGCGGCGCCGCCGGGGCCCCGCCGCCCGCTCTCGCCCGGGGCCGCCGCGCGCGGTAACGCGGAGCAGATGTCCCAGCCCGGCCCGGCCCTTCACCCCGAGCCCGCGGCCCGCGCGGCGGCACCTTCGCCGGCAGACAAAAGGGCTCTCCCCCCTCCTCCCTCGCTCCCCTCCGAACTCCGGCGCCCGGACCCGCGTCCTCGCGGGGCGCCCCGAGGACCCCGCGCCGGGCAGGGGGCCCGCCACAAAGTTGGGCGGCCCCTCCGGCGCCCCCCGAGACCCCGCCCGGGGCTCCGCAAAGTTTCCTGAAGTGCCGGGCCCGGCGGGGGGGGGCGCGGCGCGGGCCTCGCGCGCGCCGGCCCCTCCACGTCGCCTGCCCCCCCATCGCCGCGCAAAGTTGGAGAACAATGACTCCCGGCCGGGAGCCGCCGCCCCTCGGCCCGGCCCCCGGCAAGGGGCGGGGGGTGCAGCCCCCGACGACGCCCCGGCCCCAACTTCCCCGGCCCCGAGGCGCGGGGAGGACGCGGGTCAACTTTGCACAAAGCCGCGGGGGCGCGGGCGCGGCCCCCGCCGCCTCCCGGCCCCAGGGGGTGGCGGCGCGTTACCTGCTCGGCGCGGCCCGGCCAGCAGCGCGGGGGGCGGCGGCATGAACGGGCCCCCCGGACAAAGGGGCGCCGCGCCGGGCCCCCGAGGGTCGTGCGTGGGCGGCGGCGCGCGTGGCCCCGGCCCCCTCCCGCGTGGCCCGCCCCGCGGGGTCCTGGGCGGCCGCAGAGCTGGCGGAGGCGGCGCGCAGTGTCCGCGGCTCCCGCCGCCCGCGTCGGGTCGGCTCGGTCCGGCCCGCTACGCCCGCGGCCGCCGCCGCTGCCTCATCTTCCTGCGGCGGGAGACATGTTCCGCCCCCCGCCCCGCGCTCGGGCCCGCCCCCTCGAGGGCCCGCCCCCGCTCCGCCCCGCTCTGCGCCCCGCCCGGCTCCCCGCGGATCCCTCCGCCGCCGCCCGTGCTGCCCGCGCCTCGCCCCGCCGAGCGCCCGAAGGAGGCGGGCGCTGCCCCGCGGGGCCTGGGATGTGGGGGCGGCGGGGCCCGGAGAGTTCGCGGGCACACGAGGCGGGGACTATATTCCATCGCGGAGGCGCACGCTCGCTGTACTCGGCCCCGTGACGCAAGCGGTACAGGCCGTGAGATGAAAAGATAAGACCGACAGGCCACGGCCAATCGCGTAGCGTGAAAAATCTAACTGGCGGGGCCGCCGGCCATTCGCGATAGGGCCCGCCCCCTCCCCGCCCCCTGTGCGCGACCAGCGAGGAAAGAGGCGGGACTCCACGAGCCAGAGGCCGCGAGAAGCGGAGGGGAGGGCCTTGGGGTTTTATTCTCAGGTTTGCATGACCGCCCGAGTGGTCGGATTGTACCTGCGTTCTCAGGGCCGGGCCCGGTGCTAGGTGTTGCGAGCGGGCCTCCCAGCCCCCGGGGAGCCAGACCCGTTTTACTGGCGGGAACAACCGAGGCCCCTGTGTGGCAGGGGCGGCGAGCGCCGGGAGCCGGCTGCGCTCTGCTGGCCGGTTGCCTTGACCTGCCTGAGTCTGAGTTTCCTCATTTGTAAAATTGAATTTGGACCTTAATTTGGACAGGACTAGGGTCAAACCAGGAAATTCTCAGGGGTCTGTGTGTTCGCTTAGGTCTAGCCCTCAGGCCCCTTTGCCGCCCCCACATCCAGGGGCTTCTCAGCTGCAGCAGACCTCAGGCCCTACAGCACGGAGTAGTGATACTTTTAAATGGAAATAACACAATCATTTGTGGCTCCCTGTGTCCCCAGAGGGGCTGCTGCGCTCCTTTCAGACCTGGAAAGGGGCCACTGTTCCTCCGGCCCACTGGCCTCTAGCCACCAGAGCTTCCTCATTGTTCTGGAACTTTCCAGGCTCATTCCCATCTCTGGGCTGTTGCCCTTGCTATGCGCTCAGTCACATTTTCTTCTACTCCCATCTGGAGCCCCCAGTCACCTCAATTCAGTGGTGCTCCCTGGAGCAGGGCTGGAAGGAAGGAGGAAGAGTAGGGGCCCCCCGGGGGATGCAGAGGGGCTCAGCAGGCTCCTAAAACATCCTTAAGTACCTCCTGCTACACCCTCCTTGGACAGAGCTCCCTCTGACCTCTTCTGGCCCAGGGGCCCCCACATGCCACAGACCTGAGGAGGGGTGTGGGTCTCAGGGTGTGGGTTCCATTTCTTTATCCCTCCAGGCCACACTGACCCTGGACAAATTCTGGACCTCAGTTTACCCATCAGGAAAAAGAAAACAGCAATGGGCATGGAGCAGGACCAACAGCTAATGCCCTTATCTCCACCCTGATGAGCCTGGGCTCCAGCGAGGACCCCCTAAAGTTTTCTGGTGGCCCAACCCCAAAAGGTCGGTGGGCTGCTCTGGCTTTCCCCTGGCCCGGAGGTTTCTCCAGAATCAGTCCAGGGCCAAGGCCTCTCAGGGGTCCCAGCCTCACTCGGCGTGGACCATCACAGGCAACGCTCAGGGTTTAAACTGTAGAGTTGGGCCCGTATTCCCGCAGTGGGCCTCAGTACACCCACAGAGGAGGGCAGTGATCCGTTCACCATAGGCAGGTTATTGAGCACTGACTGTTTTCCAGGCACGGTGTTGGGCACTGGGACACGGTGGTGGTATGACCTGTCCTGTCCCTGGCCTCCATGGGACATCAGAGACCTCCGTTTAGGATGGAAACGAGGCTCTTTCCAGCCATCTGTTTGGCCATAAAATCCTCATACCTGAGTGACTGAGCCCATAATACAGACAAGGAAACTGAGGCTCAGAGAGTTCCTCTCTGGGGCCCAGTCCACCCCGGGGCTCACACCTGCTAGGAGGCTCTCCTGACACCCACAAGTCTCCATTGTCTTCCCTGGGGAGGTCCATTGTGGGGCTGAGTCATCGGGAGGAGAGGGCTGTGGGGGCCCTCACTATGCAACCACCTCTGCCCGGCCCTGGGGCCCAGGCACGCCCTACAGGGCACTGGCATAGGGACAGGAGCCAGCGCTGGTGCTAGGGCCCCTCAAGGGCAGACCACAGCCTGCCCACCCCTGCCTGGCTGACTTCAGCCTTTGTTCTCCTCTGGGTGCCTGGGGCCCTGCAGCAGGAGCCAAGGACCTGCCTCCCCACTTGCTTCCTCCTGCCACCCAGGCCACACCTGCTGAGCAGGCTCCAGGCCGGGGACCCCATGGTGAGAAAGATAACCCCATTTCTGATTGGAAAAGAAATGCCAGGCACAGGTTTCACCGTGAATGGGGTACAGAATATGGGGATGATGGGAATTTCAGGAAAATAGACACCCTGTTGTTTGCAAAGGAAATGTGGTTGGACTTGGAACTTTGGGGCCAGTGCCATTCTTTACTGCTCTTATTTGCCTCCAAAGTGGGTCCTTCTCTTGGGGTGAGAACAGATCTCCATTCTCGCCCCCCCCCCCCCCACATCCAGCTCCTCCTTGCTTTCCAGAAGCACAGGCAGGAGGGAAGCAGCACTTATCACTCAAGCCAGAACCTGAAAGTTGACTCTGATGAAAGGTGACTCTGAGCTGGGGGCTTCTTGATCCATGCAGACCCCCCAGGAAGGGCCTTTTGACCCCGACAGGTTCAGGATCACCACAACCATTACCTCTTGGAAGCCTGCGGTCAGGGGTCATTCATTTGTTCTTCCTGCAAAGAAGTTTTCTATGGGGCCTGCTACAGGTGGTCTGGGGCTGAAGTCTCCTGGGATATGGAATGGGGGTTTTTTGCCCTCCCCAAGAAGTGGGAGGTGATCCTGGCTGTGGTGCATGAAGGGCCTCAGAGAAAGTTTTAGGGGGGACCCAGACCTGTGGGTTCCCTAGGGCAGTGACACTTGGACGGTGACCAGAGGATGCGTGAATTGGGCAGAGTGGGGAATACTCTAGGCTGGGGAGACCTGCCTGGCAAAGGCTGGCCTGTGGGACAGTGTGGGGCATGTATTTAAGGAATTCAGTCGAGGCAGAGCCCAGAGGAACAAGGGAGAGGAGCCAAGGGTAGAGAGAGGAGTCCGCCTTTAAGGGTGAGGGCATTAGGGAGCCTCGGTGAGGGTCTACACAGGCCCAGGATGTGGTCTGCTGTGGGGTGATGTAGGCGTGGTCTCTAGAGGGGAGCAGGGAGCACTCAGATAGTTCTGGCCCTGGATATGATGTGTCTGGTGGATTTGCTATGGGTTTGCAGGATAACCCTGTGGTGTGGGGATAAGGAGACAGCCACCCATGGGTGGCAGGTGTGGGGCTGGGTATCCAGGCGCACTAGCGGTCGTGCAGGGTCATCTTGGGCCAGTGACAGGATAAATGGGCCCCAGGAAGGCCATGGTTATGCTCAAACCCTACTGGACAGAGCCACAGACTGACCAGGAGTGGCTGCGTGCCAGGGGCACCGGGCAAGTGAGTGAATGAACGCTCCTTGACCTAGGCTGAGCACCAAACCTGGATTGAACCAGAAAAACAGGCTGAAAACCCTGAACTGGACCAAATCTGGAACCCGGACCGAGTCCCCTAACGCAGGCTGAAGCCTGAATGTCACCTGAGTCCCCAAGCCTGGTCTAAGCCATGGTCCCAAGCCGAGCCCCGATTCTAGTCTAGCCCTTGGGTTTGAACCCAACCCTGGACACAGGCTGGACTCCCTGGCCTGGACTGAGCCCAGCCTCTCTTTCCACCTAGGCCCACCCGCCCCTCTCCGCCCGCCCTGTGCCCACCCCCTCCCAAGACCCATGCCACCTGCTGAGGGCGGCCCTTCCCCTCCTGGCATAGTGCCCACAGCCCCACAGCTCCTGACTCAGGGGCCCCCAGGGCCTGTCCCACCACATTCCGAGGTGGCCTATGCAAACACAGGGCACCTCCCCAACAGTCCCCACAGGCATTGTCGGCCCAGTTC